TAAAATAAATATATTAATGATATTTTTAATGAGCCTGAAAGGAAGAGTTAGCCCAAATCAAAATATTTAAGTATTTGAAATTTTTCTATACACCTATAAATAATGGTTCAATCATTTCTAACAATGCAATCAAGTTTTTATTTAAAATATAGATAATATAATTACTGTTTATTAAATAGATAAATAATTTATTTCATATTTATATGTCTCTGTAATAATATTATATATCACAATAATGCAAAAGTTGAAACAAAAATATAGAAGGTCGGTAATCTCATCCATAAGAAGAAGCTAGAGTGGTCCTCTCTTTATGTAACTTTCATTCATATCGCATTTTATCCAACAAAATAAATAAAATTTCCACAACATATTATTCTTCTTCTTTTCTTCTTCACCCGTTTTCCCGTATCCTTTATTTTCCCATTCATAGTTTGTTGAGCCATTTTCTCCTTCCATCTAAAATAGCTTCACCATTTCAATTCTCTCTCTCTCTCTCTCTCTCTCTCTCTCTCTCTCTCTCTCTCTCTCTTAATTTTCTTTCCTTTCTTTTTCTTTCTCTTGCAGATTCTTCCAACCACTCATCCATCTTCCTAACCCGATCAATTCTTTCCGAGACATGATGGGAAATACCTCTTTCTATTTCATGAATCAAGCTTTTTCTCTCTCTCGTTTTCATTGTTGTTGTTGTTGTTGTAGAATTCCGAATTTCTAGGGTTCCGTAATCGATTCCGCGTTCCCCAATTTTCAATTTGGGACAATCGATTTTCTTTTTTGTTATTTATTTGTGAATTAGGGGTTATTGTAAATTGTAATTGTTGATTTGATTTGGAAGTGAGTTATGCGTATCGAGGAATTGAAAGGAGGTGAAATTGAAGAAGGTGGAGAGGAAGGGAAATGGAGCTTTGTTGGTTCCGATACGAAGAGGGTTTTGGTTGGAGCAGGGGCTCGAGCGCTATTCTATCCCACGCTTGTTTATAATGTCGTTAGGAATAGGCTTCAGGCTGAGTTTCGATGGTGGGATAAGGTTGATGAGGTATGGTTTCATATTGGTTGATTAGGGATGCTAATTTGTTATTGCTATAAGTGTTTAATGGTGTCTCTTTCATGCATGTTTTTATTTGATTATGGGTGAGAAATGTCTTCTGTTGTTTGGGAATAAGGGTGTTCTGAATCTGATGCACTTGATTTTCAGTTTGTATTGTTAGGTGCGGTTCCATTTCCTATTGATGTTCCTCGCTTGAAAGATCTTGGTGTCCGTGGGGTCATCACATTGAATGAGTCATATGAGACTTTGGTTCCAACCACATTATATCATGTGAGTATTCCTGGTTTTGGCTGTTTTAAGGGGTTGATTTAGATTAATTTTTATCACTTGCTTTCTAGCTTAATAATGGGTGTTGTGATATGTTCTCTCTCTCTCTCTCTCTCTCTCTGCTGAGAATCTGGGATGTTCTTGTGCTTCAGGAAAAGTGATGGAAGGAAGGAATAATACTTGTTTGTGCAGCTAAATAGAAATATTGAGTTTCTCTAGTTCTTATGCATATTCTTGCTACACAGGCTTTGTGGCCTGGGGTTGTTATAGCATCTTGGGTGCTTTCATGATAAATTTCATGTGTTCTTAAATATACTTGATGTCTTAATTTCTTGTTTAAATTTGGCAGGCTCATGGGATTGATCATCTGGTGATTCCTACTAGAGATTACTGTTTTGCTCCACCACTAAATGACATACGCCGCGCTGTTGATTTCATACATAGTAAGTACTATGCAACTTGGTTCATTATGATATCAGAATGATTGCATGTACAAGTTTTTTTCTGTCATGGGGAAAATGATAATTGATGATTAGACATATCTGTAAAATGTTGCGTAGTTCTTAACCTGATTAGATCTTATGTGTTGGATGTTTTCTTATATACTTTGTGCAATGTATTTTGTACTCTTGAGCTCTACTTCTTTCCACCATCCTCGTCCCGGGTAAAAAAAAAAATAATAATAATAATAGAAGTCAGAAAAAGTTCATATGGATGTAGAAGTTGCAAAATGCATCTACTGGCAGGCATATAATAGCAATGTTTCTCATTTTAACTTTAGTTATTATGCTCATTTGTAACTGTATTTTTCTACCCTTGAAGTCTTTCCACCTCTCGCCTCCGGGTAAAAATAAATTGAACTCAGAAGTAAATATAAAATTCATCTACTCATAGGGTTGTAATAATTGTGCTCATTACAATTTAGTTATTATACACTTGTATGTTATTGTTTTTGACATTTTTGCCTGATTTGGTTCTTTTGATGAAGAAAATGCATTGTCTGGATGCACTACATATGTGCACTGCAAAGCTGGACGGGGTCGCAGCACAACTATTGTTATTTGTTATCTGGTTAGTTCTCAATCTTAGAAGAAAAAGAAAGTAGAAAAATCAAAGTATGAGAGGTTAGTGCTGTTATTTTCTTACATTGTGATCTTTTTGGTGTAGGTGCACCACAAATTGATGTCACCTGATGCTGCATATGAATATGTAAAGTCAATTCGGCCAAGGGTGCTTTTAGCTTCCTCTCAGTGGCGAGTAAGTGTGATGCTTGTATTTCTTTTTATCAGTAGTACTATTGAAGTTTTGTAGATTTTGCAGATCCAATTTACCTTATCATAGGTTTGGGTAAATTTGTTGCTGAAAATGAATAAATTTTATATTTACTATGAATGAGATGCTCTTTTTCTGAATGGGATCCCCAATTTTAAAAACCCATCAATATTATTGTTTTTGAATTCATTTTTTATTTCAATAAAAAAATTGTGTTGGCAAAACAATAATGAATTGTGATGGTTAATCTTCATTCATTTAATTTTTGAAATTTCAGGCTGTCCAGGACTACTACCGTCACCTTATTATGAGGAGGATTGTTGGGTTTTCGCCTGCAGCTGATCTATTTGTAAAGGCTTCTAAGGTCACAGCAGCTTCACAAGATCTTGTAAAATTTGATGACAATTCTGTAGTCTTGGTAACAGAGAAAGATCTTGAAGGATACGATCCAAATTGTCAATCAGTAACCATGTCAAGTGAAATATGGGCAGATTTGAGTGTTGTTTATCGTGTGCGAGTTGCTGGAGAGGCCGCATTTGCAAGAATATCATGCCTTTGGCTGCGATATGGTACCGACCAGAAGATTTCTGCAGAAAAACTAAGCAGAGAGAGCAGTTGCTCCATCAGAACGAATCACTTGGGAGGAATTAGTGTTGACATCCATGTGTACTGAAAAATTAGCTTAGGTTTCCTAAGTTTGACATGTTTCCTTTGTTGTGCCCAATAATAATTCATGTATATGATGGGGCTGAATCAATAACTCGTGTTTTCCTCTCTGTATATCTCGATACTTTGCTCATTTGAATGCAAATGATGAGTGTCATACGAGTCAATCAATCCACGTGCTTTCTTTATTTTGTCCTAATAATGGGTTAGTTTTTCTGGGAAGTTGGTAAGTAATAGTGTTTCCATTGCAACATAGTTTTGTGACGGGTGCAATGCTTATGTTATGTCTGCTTCTCAAAACTTGAGAATTGCTTGAGCTCACTCTTGTGAATACAAGCATGTGGCAGCTTTTAAGTTTTGTTTAACTACTACCAACTGTCGATGCCTGATCCAATATAGTGAAAATTCCAACTTAAGCATGCAATTTGCAATTGCAGAATAACAATTCCAATAAAATGCTCCCTCACACTAAGGACCTGTTGGTATTGCCTATTTTATATATCTATTAACATAAATTTTATTATCACAAGTGACACAGATTGGTAGAACTTATAAAAACAATTTAAATTCTCTTAAATAATTCATCACGAAAATAACAGCATATAAAAAAATAATTTCATTATATTTTAGTTTTTGAAATAAAAATGGTTCATGTAAATTTATGAGATTAATTGATATGTATTGTCAGTATAAAACCATCAATGTATCTCAACCATTTATAAGTAATATTTTTTATGTGATTTAAAAAAAAAACTGTAAACGTAATATTATTAATGTGTTAAGGTTAATTCAGTTATTTGTGTCCCGTTACAATAAATGTGTTAAAAAAACTGAATTAACCTTAATATGTTAATTCAGTTATTTGTGTCAAGGTTAATACTATAAATGTTGAGGTTAATCCTTTAGTTATTTGTGTTAAGGTTAATTCATAGTTATTTTTCTTCAAGTCGATACCTAAGATTTGACATATCATCTTTAATCCTTAATTTTACAATGACTTCTTTATACCTTAGTTTGCCAATAACTTCATACTTACATAAATAAAAAGAAGGTCAATGAGTAGGTACGTCAAATAAAGGTAAGTATATCTAAAATTTACTTGTTAATTGAAGCTATTTCTTAGTTTGCACGAAAACTTCAAAGACATGTATATAAACACGAATGGAGTGGAAATTAAGTATGCAAAATAAAGTTATTTTTTAATTGTTGCAATTGCAAAAAAAAAAAATTTTAAAAATTATTGATGATCACGTGTAAAAAGTGAAAAGAGATTTCATTTTATGTTTTTAAATTTGATATATATTAGAGTCTTTCAATTTCTAGAAAAAAATGGCCTTAGAAATCTGTCATTCAAATGAGATAAATCAAAGATTTGATATATTAGTTCATTAATTAAAAAAACACAAATAGACCTATAGAAATTACTTACCAAAACTAATAAGTTTCTGGATTTACAGTGTGAAGTTAGCAAACATGTCCCCTACATACATTGTGATCAGATTAACTCATATCAGATCAATTTTGTTTGAACCTTGAAAGCATATAACATACAGGAGATTTACAACACAGACTACAATTGTGTTTGTAATTCGTAACATGTTTTCGGACCTCCAAATATATAATCCAGTTGAAAAAATTCATTACACTGTGCGAGCTAATACCGCAGAGATACAATCGAAGGAAGTTAAAAAGAATAAAAATTATTATTAATTAATAATAATAATCACAATTAAGGTAACAGGCAAAAAAATCATTCAGCATCTGGTCTTTCCTTTATAAATGAGACAACACCACTATGTGGGTCTAGCAAATGCTGATTGGAATCTTCCTCTTCACTATCATCTGACGCAGAATGCTCTTCAGATTCTGTTTCCTCTTCATCTGCAATAACAGATGTTAGCCAAAAGTGTTTCTTTCCGATAAATCAATCTGAAAGATACAAGATTGTAAGACAAACTGTTGATATGTAGTTGTCTTCGATCATAGATTACCAGAATGTGCAATAAGATCAGGTTGATGTCTGACAGCCTCGACCTGAAGGCTTTCTGGCAGAAGACAATTGCAAAAAGAACCTGAAATTTAAACGGCGTTTGATCAGCTTATATACTTGTAGATGCAATCACAACATTCATAATAGTCTGTGTGAATCGACTAATTTGAGTTAATCTCCTCATATAAGAGACAAGAGACAAAGAGAGTCCTCACCAACACGGGCCAACCGATTTACCCATGCAGGGATAGGCTTTCCAGTTAACTCTTGGCAGACTTCATCTGTAAAATGGTTGCAATTCTTAGCAATCAGATGGTATGTGTCTCCATGATATTTCGTGGATAAGCGCTCGATGAAAGAACGGAATTGTGAATACGACATATCAGTGCTGCCTAACAATACTGAACGTCTGAAGATAAAGCCCGGACAACTTTTAGGTTCCACCTCAAATACTCCACTTGTCGAGTACTCGTGAGCTCCAAAGCCATATTCCATGCCATGCACTATTCATGAAAAGTTAAAACCATGAACTAAGTTAGTTGAATACCTCGGCGTTTGACGCTTATCTTGGCAATATTCATACTATTACTTCATACTAATATACCTAATTAGGGTATACATGATTCCATTTTATAACCATAGTCATTCACATTTATAAAAGAAATGGAACCAATAATCATAAAAAACAGACCAATACACACAGAAGCTTCATAAACATAAATCATAACAATGTTGCATTCAATGATAAAACATTTAACCACAATGTCATAAACCAATTACATACCAATAAATACAAAACATAATTCTCTTACCAAACCAAGCTCAAAATCAGAAACTTGTCATGAACAGAAGTACAAGGATGAAGCAGACAAACCTTCTACACCGGAATGAAAGACCCCGACACCAAACATGTAAAGATAATTATTGGCAGGCGTAAGATCATACACATTCAGGTATACCATAGTATTACTCTTTTTCTCGCTATCATGTACCCTTTCCAAGCTACCATTCCTTCGCAAAGACGGCATGGTGTAAGCTTTTCTCCTTTCCTTCTCTCCTAATTCTTTAATCCTTTACATACACAACCCCATTCTTCTTCGCGTAGCCTAAAAACATCATACAAAACAATATCATCATTTTCAAAAAGCAAACAAACCCATTTGCATATATATATAGTTTACAGCTAAAGGGTATATGAAAAATCGAAAGTTTTCATCTGGGGTTAAAAACATCATACAAAAACAATATCATTATTTTCAAAAAGCTAACAAACCCATTTACATATACATAGTTTACAGCTAAAGGGCATATGAAAAATCCAAAATTTCCATCTGAGGTTAACAACATCATACAAAAACTATCATTATTTCCAAAAAGCAAACAAACCCATTTGCATATACATAGTTTACAGCTAAAGGGTATATGCAAAATCCAAAATTTTCATTTGGGGTTGAACATTCAAAGCTTGATTGAAATTGTTGCAATTATTATGATGGGGTTTTAGTAAGAAAATGCAGTTAAGGTTGAAATTAAAATCAAAGTGAAATTACCGAATAATTATGTGGATTAAATGGATAGGAAAGACTTGAATAAAGTGAATTAGAAATTGAAAACATGAAAAAGATGAATAATAGAGAGAAGATGCAATGGAAGAAAGAGAAACTTACGAAAGGAGAATGGGGAAGGAAGAAGAGGAAGGGAAAGGGGTTGGAGAGTAATTTGGGGTGGAAGTTGAAGAAGAAACGTAAGGTGGCTCGAATGCGTCCCACAAAGCCTAAAATCAGACAAACTCTTCTTTCGCTATGCCTTTTGGGCGTTTCGAGCCACACTTCTTTATCATTTTTTTTCTTTCAATGTTCTTAATACAGATTTTTTTCCTTTCAATTATTTATTCATTAAATTATTAATAGTTTTATAATATTTTTACCCCCCGTTATTAGTCATAGTTTTTTAATTACTAAAGTCATATAAATTATATAATTTTTTTTTTTTAGGAATTAACATTTCACCAATGATATAGATGGCACTTCAAAGGATATGAAATGATAAAATTATGTAAACTCAAAATTTTTTCTAAAATTTTCAATATGTGATACTACACCGGAAATTTAAATTGTTTTAGACGATATCAGGAATTTAGAGATGATATCGAAAATTTGTTAAACAAGTAAGAAATTTTTGGTAGACTTGTGATATTTCTGGTACTTTATATTGGAAATTTCAAAAAATACGATATATTTGAACCTAAAATTTTAAAATTTTCGTGTAATACATTTATCTTTTATATAAAAAAATTCGAAATTTTCTGAGCTTTATAGTATGTATCGGAAATTTCGAATTTTCTGATAGTTCAATTTTTTTGTTGAAAAATACAGGAAATTTAGAAAATTCCGGTAGTACATATTTTCCTAATTTTTTCCAATGTTTCGGTGAGGACCAGGGGGCAAAGATCGCTCTGTTGCGGGTAGGAGAGTCGATAGAGCGGAAGCTCAGGCCCGGGCTGACAAGGCACATGCTTCTGAGCTACGGGATGGACGACGTACTATGACCGATTCTCACAAGAAATAGTTGGCTGAACAGCAGACACAGTTTCACGCACCCCACCGTTGAGGATTAAATATTCTACTGTCGAGGAGGTACATGCTTCTGCTCTTGTGGATGTGCCTGTGATTAAGTCGACTGCTGAGCAGCATATTGAGGAGGTTGTGCCTGTTGTGAAGTCGACAGTTGAGCCAGAAGCCGAGCAGGCTATGGAGTCGACAGTTGAGGAGATTGTAAAGCAGATGGAAGAGGTTGTTGCTGAGCGCGTTGATGAGGTGTCTCTCACTGATACAGACACCGCGACTCATGCTTCTACGGAGCCATCAGTTCACACTGATGAAGCCTTTCTGGGAGGACTTTCAGACATGTCTGTGCTGACAGGATTTGCTGACCATGTCACTTACAAGATATGGCAAGGCAAGATATATATTTTGTTTTCTTTAATTGCATAATTTTTCAAGTGTTTGAAAGTTGATGTATTTTATTTTTGCTTCTTATAAGAGCGCCTGGTGTTGAAGGTCGCTTCTCATGGTTCGAAGTTGAAGAACTTCCCAGAGAGTCTCATGCTAAAGGAGGTCAGTAGTATTGTTATAGATTTTCAGTTGCTAGAGTTTTTCCAATGCTCCTTGATCATATTGGACGCCTCTCTGTTGTCTACTTTTGTTGAGCGATGGCACCTAGAGACATCATCATGTCATCTTCCATTTGAGGAGATGACAATTACATTGGATGATGTCAACGCCCTGTTTCACATCCCGGTCGTTGGTACATTCTTCACACCTCCTCATATTAACCATGCCACGGTGGTGCACATGCTTATGGTTGATTTGGAGGTATCTGAGACGCATGTGCCAGAGGAGTTAGGCTTTAATCAGGGATTTCACTTTCAGATGTCTTGGTTGAGGAAATTGTACGTGGAGCTCGTGGAGGACCATAGGTATCAGGCTGCTGCTAGGGCGTACATGCTACATCTGATGGTATGTACTCTCTATGTAGATCTGTTTTATTTTGGTTGTATTATATATATATATATATATATATATATATATATATATATATATATATATATATATATATATATATATATATATATATATATATATATATATATATATATATATATATATATATATATATATATATATATATATATATATATTTTATGATACACAGACTTCTTATTAATTGCATAATACTTTGGCGATTACATGTTTCAAATTGATGATGAACATAACATAAAACAATACAACAAACATAAACCAAAAACAACTAAACATGAAAACCTAGGAACTAGATGATTATGGATGTTTCAGCAGCTTCATTATATCGTCGAAGGATCTTTGGATCTCTGCATCCAACTCGATCAGACATTTAGTTATCCTACGGTAAAGTAATTTTCACATGGCCTTCACATCTTCATCGGTCTTCAACTCAATTAGGTTCTATTTCACCTTTCCATTTGTATTAATCCAGTCTTCCCGAAACTCGATCTTTGTCACCCTTATGTTATCAGAATCAGACAGCAGTTCATTCAACTTGTCTTTTAAGTTTTCGAAGGATGTGGTGTCATCTGGAAGCTTGAATTCAACAATAGGGTTGTTTCTGATGAAATATACTTCTTCCTTAATCAGAAACTGAGGAAGAGGCATTATTTGAGATGTTTTTCTCTATAACAGTTTCCCTATTTATACAAATGGCGGTGCATTCTAGACCCCACAAATTTGTTAGTGCAATCAGGGCCCTCCAAAGATATCGACAAAATCTCAACCATTTAAAAAATTGAATAAATGAACTACCAAAAATTTCAGTATATCTCAAATTTTCGGTACTGCCTGGATCTTGACTTGTACACAGTGTAATGTCAAACTCTTCTGCGTAATCTTTACTTGATTCACGCTTCTTGAACCTTCCAATATTACCAATCTGCTCCAAGCCTTTGTGTGTAGCAATCACCCCTTGATCCTACTAATTCCTTGAGTGATGAAATGTCTGAAGATTTGAGAAGAACTCCACCTTGTCTGTAGCCTTCGACACAGTCACTACCAAGGTAATCTGGAGAGAAGAACCTCCTTCTTTTCACTGGAATTTGTCAGCACCAATGACAACAACCCTAGCCTTGTAAGCTGTATGAAAATCTCAATCAAATCTTTAAGAATGATTAGTTTCAAGATAACATCTCCCTCAATCAATTATAAATCTCTTATCATTAAGATCTGAAATCAAACTAGAGGTTCAAGATGAAACAATTTTGTTGCAAGGGTTTTGAAATTTTCAAAAGTGAGAGGGTCTTGGTTTCACATAAAATCACAATGTTGAATATGAATTTCACACATAAGAATGATGACAAAATGATTTTATATGGGCTTGATATTAATCATAAAAATGGATGGAAAAATTTGATTAGATTCGAATCAAGAACATTTCATGATTTGAGTAATATGAGCAAGTGAAGTGGAATAATAAGGAAAAGAATCTTAACCCATTTCTAATCTTATTTGAATCACGTGTAAGGTATGATTCAAATCAGAAGCCTCATGATTAGAATCAAGTGTAAATCCTGATTCGAATCAATTCAACTAGAGCCAACAAAAAATGTTGAAAAACTGACTGATTTGAATCAGGTGTAAAGTCTGATTTGAATCAAATAAAGCTGAGGTGACCTAGAAATGTCTGATTTGAATCAAGTGTAAAATATGATTCGAATCAAGGTTTTTGAAAAACCTTGGTTTGCATCTATCCAATTTGATTTGAATCAAGATATGTGCTTGATTTGAATCAAACAGACAAAATCTCAAATTTTCATACTTTTCAAAATACTTTAAGATTTTTCTTTCCACCTAACTTGAACCAATAACACACATGGTTCTTATTCCACTGACTCATGAAATTAACTAAAAGCATCATGATAGAACTCAAATATAACCATTGGTTTATGCATGCTAAAATGAATAAACGAATCGATTCAAACTTGATTCAAAGATGTGCAATCATGAAGGAGACTCAATAAATGATATTAAACGAAAGCAAAAAGACAAGTAAAAAAAACATTTTCGGGGTGCCCCCCCTGAATTTGTTAGGGACATGCAACTACATCAAGAACCATATTTGAGATAAGTTCAAGTAATGAGATTAGTGGAATATCAAAACATATTTGAAATTGCATAAAATTGATATTTTAGGTGTGAGATTCGAATCACACATCCTATGAGTCAAATCAAATGAAATATAGGCATTCAAGAAGATTGTGCAACTATCATGATTCGAATCAAAAGTTGTACATGACTCGAATCATGAAACTGTGACTCAAATCACAAGATACTCATGGCTCAAATAATGAAATGATGAAATTCCATGATTTGCCTCTGCATTGCTTGAGTCAAACCACACTCTTCATGAGTTGAATCATGACTTCAGTCTTGACTCAAATCATGGGTCAAATCATAACTTGAACCATACAAATGGGTTTCTCATATTTTAGATCTTGATTCAACTTACTTTAACACTTGAATCAAATCACACACGTTCTTATGAATCGAATCAAGTATCATTTTTCATTCATTTTATGCTAAATCTCCAACACCTATAAAATCATTTTCTATCAAATCTTTTATAATGTTAGAAAACACATACTTCCAATATTGATTTGTAAAATCATAAACCACTTGCTATTTCATATTTTCAAAAGAGTTTCGAATCTTTTCATGAATACTTGTGTTGTACCCCAAAATTTGCCCTCCCTTTTTCACAAAAAAAATCACAACCCCAGGGTTTTCTCTAATTTTTAAGATTGGCTCAGGAATCGATCAAACAGACTTTTCTTTAGCGGTTAATCCAGGATTAGGGTTTTCTCTCACATCTCTCAGAAGAAATTGAATCCTCAGAAATTTCTTGTTCAAATTTACTGATTGTTCTCAAAGCCTGGTTATCTGGGATAAGAGTTGGGACTTTTGTTTGGAACATTAAGGCATCTACTTGATTAGTGGAGTGAAAGGTTTACCATTTAATGGAATGCTTGTTTGTTTAACTGTACAATGCATATGTTAATTGGAATACCATGCGTATTGTGATTGATGCAAGGTTGCGAGACTGCAAAGTTTGTTGATTATTTATTTTATCTGGATTAGAATTATTCGGACACAGTTTCAATTATTTTGATTTAAGAGTCTTAAATAATTAAATAAACATGCAAGGAAGAATTGAAAAGATATTTGACAGTAGAAATTTTCTTTTGGATAAAGACTTTTATTTACTTCAAATGTTGTTAGAAAATTTATTTGAATATTATAAGATTACAACTTATAGTATTTAAGATAGTATTTGTTTACAATAAATGAAAAAATAAATCTAAGCCTAATCTCCTAAGATCTTTGGCTTCTACTGCTTCCTCTATTGCCCAAGATGCATTCACCTGAAAAAGAAGAAAGGAAAGAAATTAACACAATTAACTGAAAAGAATTTTCAAGCAGAAGAAAAGAAATCATCATTAAAGTTTGCCGGCTGGAATCAGAATGTTATTTGTTCATCATGTTTTATTTTCCTCTTTGCAAATCACAAGAAGATTACTCTTCTTGGTTCACAAAGAGAAAAATAAAAACAAATGATAAAATGCAAGCATATCAAACTAGATGCAAAAACATGGTTCAAATACAAAGGTACAAGACTGTATACAAAGCAAGTTGTACTGCAAACTGAATTTCAAACTGCAGTAACCAAGCATATCAAACTAGATGCAAAAACTTGGTTCAAATGCAAAAACATAGGCATTGTAAAGGCAAACCAAGGCGCCAAGATTCAAAACTGTCAAGGCAAAGTACACAATGCAGAAAATATGCAATCAAAAGTACACAATGCAGAGATAAACCAAATTACAAGCCAAAGAGACTTGTCCTAGCCATCATCACTTTCTAGCCAGCAAACTTTTCAGAATTAAAATAATAAGCAAAAAGGTGCTTAGGGGAGAGAGAGAGAGAGAG